TTTCACTGTGTACTCAGTGGGGCCTTATCATATCATATCAGAATCACCTAAGGGTCTATTCCAAAGTATGCATCCACTCCAACCTCAAGATTCTGATTTTTTTTCTCTCCTCACCTCATACATGGAAAATCAGTGTTGCTTAAAGCCTCTTTTATAAAAGGGAGTATGTCAAATTTTTTGGTTGTACTAAAGAAAAACAATTTTAGGATGACTGCTTTAAAGAGTTATAAAAAAAAAATTCTCTTTTGGGCTCCATGGAAAATATAACAGAAATAAACCTGGACTCTGTCCTCAATGGACTCAGAATGCCCAGAATATAAAAATGGCCAGGTTGAGTTGTAAGAGATGGAATGGTAGAAACTGAGAGTCACAAGTGCACACACAGTAAAAATACTTTCACCAGCCAGAAAGTATCTGAACAGCCCATTCTTACTACCGTTTCTATTAAAAGTCCAGGTATTTGTATATATATATGCATAACACATGGACATAGATAATAGGGTGGTGAAGGCTTGGGATGTGGGGGTGGAGGTGGATTAGAAGTCAATGGGGGATAAGGGGAACATATGTAATACTTTCAACAATAAAGATTTTTTTTGAGAAAAAAACATTAAGGTAATTTTATGGGTCACAGTAATACATTTTCTAATTAGCTCAATAGTTTAGATTTGTTAATCTAACTTAATACCTGACTCCACAGGCAGGGGGAATCTAAGGGAGCAGAAGGAAAGATAAGCAGAAAGGATTCAACACATGGTGGCTTTGTTGGATGGGAAGATGCTCTGAGCAAGGACAGACCTTGTCATCTTCAAACAAGAGAAAATTTTTGACTACTCTGTAACTATTACATAGCTCTGCAAAACTATGGGGATTAAATTATTTATAGTTCAAACATGGGTCTAATATAAGGTAAACCATGAAATAAGTTTATATCATGACTTTCTTTGGCATTATAAAAATCATTTCAAAAAACTGATTGCTTTTATAAACAAAAAATTAACTGGTAAATAAACATTTAAGTGGTCTTTACAAAGGATTACCAACAGAAAAATATAAATGAGAGGAAGAAAAAAGAAATGAAAAAAGATCAGCATATCTCTATGCCAAGCCTGCATAGCTATGGGTGAACCTGAGAGGGGGCGGTGAAGGATTGAGAAAAGACAGATAAGAGAATAAAGCTGGGCACTAGGTAGGATGCTGCTTTATGATGGAGAGACACTGCCACAGCCAGTAAGCCTAGTCTTTTTTTTATAGCCAGATTCCACGAGGCAAAGTAAGGGCATGGTCAAGATGTTCACGACGTCCTCCCAGGTTTCGAATCTACTCAGTCACATGCACCTGATCAAATTTTGTTTACTTGCTGCACATCCCACAGCTTATATCACTCAGCCATGTGGGACCACAGGTTCGGACCATAAGATCAAGCTTACAACTATAGCCTTTGGCTATAATAGTGCTGGGACTTGCCACAAGAGGATCATGCCCTCTCATTAGTCCCAAGCTTGAACCTGTCCAAACACTGTAACCACTCTCCACATATCTCAAGCCATCTCTCAGAGCACTTCAGCTCCTCTATGTTTATCTGTCAGAGAATGCTATTTTTTTTATTAATCCATGAGTCAACAAAAGTATGAAAGTTGAACTCTCTCCTCAGTTTCCTTATCACACATTCATTGCAACAGATAATGAAGTCCAAACCAGCAAATCCTTCCTAGATTCTCAGTTTGAAACCATGATAGATAGCATGTCAGCGGATCTGTATGCACTGCAAGGCATACAGATTTATTTTTAATAAATTTTTAATAAAATTTAAAATATTGGAGACTATGGCTGATATAGTGACCAAACATTTAGAAATGGCAAACATTGGAGTAATCACATGACCTGTTGTCTTAATCAGTGTCTGAAATACTCTGTCTTGAAAATGTGCTTTATGAAATACATAGGAAAGCCCAGCCGGTATGGCCCAGTGGTTGAGCATCAACCTATGAACCAGGAGATCACAGTTTAATTTCAACTCAGGGCACACGCCAGGGTTTTGGGCTTGATCCCCAGTATGGGGTGTGCAGGAGGCAGCCCATCAATGTTTCTATCTCTCTGTTCTTCTCCATTCCTCTCACTCTAAAATCAATTTTAAAAACATATAAAAAATACACAGTATGAATTATCAAGTTGTGGCTCAGAAGCAGTTTATTTTAAATGAGACAAAAGGATTAGTGACTTTATTTATCTTCATCTATAATAGACCTCAGATTATCTATTCTGCCATAATGAGCAAAAATGGGCATAGGTTTTCCAAACTTTCCTACACACAACAACACACATATACCCTTTTAAGTGGCTTCTTTCTCTTTAAAAATACTATTCTAATGTTTATGATTCTTCAGGATTACATGTTGAGCTAGGATTATAAATATGTATAAATATGCAGATGCTCTATCAAATAATTTCTTATCCCATTTGTATTTCCGAAGTTGTGTAAGATAACCTTTGTGGCTTTCAAAAACATCTTCTCACTTCCCAGGGGGCAAATTACCTCTATTTTCATTTCCTTTAGAGTTAGATCATTTTATAATTAAGAACTTATTGAAGCAGATTCGCCCTACGTTTAAGTTACTCCCTGAGGAGTAATTTATGCAAAGAGCCCCTCTGACTTAATATCATATAAGACTAACAACTGTACAGTGGATACCTGGAATTGTTAGTCAATTTTGAAATCATTGTAAGGAATTTACTGTTCAAAAGGTTATCACTTTTTTAAAAAAAACAGTATAAATAACAAGTTATTATTCATTTGGTATTTTTAATAAAATAAGATTTTAAATAAAAGAATAATGATGTGGCTTATCATATTTCTTGTCCAAAAGCATTAAAAATGCCAGTTAACAATGATGCTGATGCTGATGATGAAGAATGACATTATAGCCAAAACCAGTTTGGCTCAGTGTATAGAGTGTTGGCCTGCGGACTGAAAGGTCCCACCTTTGATTCCAGTCAAGGACATGTACCTTGGTTGTGGGCACATCCCCAGTAGTGGGTGTGTAAGAGGCAGCTGATCGATGATTCTCTCTCATCTATGTTTCTAACTCTCTATCCCTCTGTCTTCCTCTCTGTAAAAAATCAATAAAATATATTTAAAAAAAGAAAAAGAATGACATTATACAACTTTGCTACTTATAAGGCACTTCTACATACAATTTCTCATTTAATCCTCACAAATCAATTAAGTTTGTCAGCTGAGCTTTATAAAACAAAACAAGATCAGTTTTATTTTTGCCATGGCCTTAATCATTAACAGATTAGGGACTAGAATCAAGGAGAACAGAAGAGAGTAAAATGACATAAAATCTCTAATTTTTTTTCCATATGACTAAATCTAGAAAACAAATACTAGTTCATGTAATCTGAAAGCTAAAAGAAAAGAAGCTAATAAAATAGCTTAATAAGCATTTTAGTCAACTTTGTCTCTTCTGGTGTTTTTAATCAATATCTCTATGGCTGGTGCTCCTGGAATGATATAGAAATTCAAAATTGTATTCATATTTTATCTTTGTGGGAGGCCAAGAAAGGGTTACTAAATGAAGTATCAGGAAAACTGGCTAATTTCTGGTTGCCATCTCCTTAGTCAACTCAAGGACACCATTAGTCACCTTGATCCTCAGTTTTCTGAGAGAACATAACACTGGATTTTTTTGTTTATAAAGATGATTTTGTTGCAGAATTTACCAGGCAGCTGGAAAATACACAAGGAGTACTCAGAGATTCGGGAAAAACCCTTTATCCCAAAGCAACGCTGCTGGCTCAGGGGATTCGAAGATCCAAAGCCTGAACAGTTAATACAATGAAATCACCCCTTATATATTCCTAAATTTGTTTCTTATCTGTTTCCTAACTACCAGGCTTTTGTGGTGGGCTTTCCCAGCCCCTCCTCAGTTAGAATGGGGAAGTTAGATGTATCTAAATGCCTGGCCTGGGTGGCGCCAGGGACCCCCACCTCTACTCCCTGGCCAAGCTGCCAAATTCCCTGCCCATGGCCCCTGCAAACTGGGAGCACCCGGGAACACAGAGTATTGTCTAAGGAAGGGGCAGTGACTTAATTACAGGCTAACAAGAATGTGCACTAGGACACTGGTCACTGGCACAAATTCAGATTGCTAGCCCCCCCCCCCCCAGGTTTCCCCCTATATCTTTCCTCAATTTAAACTTACTATGAAATATTTAATTGCAAAAAATGTAAAGTGTTATCATTTTTAAGTTGGAACAATAAGGTAAAGAGGTTTATGTCTTGCCTGCATTTATTTACTTTGTATATTTAAAGGTCAGAAATGGTAGAAAAGTATCCACATGGCACATTCATATACAAAGCATTCTGAAGCATATTTTGCATATTTTAATTTGGGTGTAGAAAAAGCGAATCTCCCTAGTGTGTATATTGTATCTTATGTAAACAACATTTATTATTTTAGTGGACGTATAGAGTATGCTCAGTAAATATTTGGCTGATTTATCATCGGCATTTTCACAAGTAAACATTCATCCACATAATATATAAAATCACCACCACCCCCCTCCAGTTTTGCTTTATTTGCCTATTTTAAAAATTTTTGAAGTGAGGCAATGTGATAGCTCTTCTTAACTTCATGTTTGAAGTGCAAAATAAGAAAAGAAAAGCCTCAGGTCCAGGGATTTTTCACTCGCATTATTTCAAGGTCAAGTTTATAAAGGAGAAAATGATGAAGACAATGGTTTACAAAACATCTGGTTTCTGGTTATATATTTTAGTTTGAGAAAAAAAGCAAATAAGATGCCTCCCCCCAACTTTCAATTAGAAGGGGCTTAGGGAGGCCATTCCAAAAGTAGATTACCCCACACCACACTCCAAATCCCACACTGGTGTCTTCAAGCACCAAGGTCATGGCAGGGAGGGGTGGAGAGAAGGTAGGAGGGTGAAAGTAAGAAGACAACTCTGTGAGCTCAAAATATCTGTTTTCCATTTTCAGCACAAATTGAAGTGATACCATGCAAAATTTGTGGCGATAAGTCCTCCGGGATCCACTACGGAGTCATCACGTGTGAAGGCTGCAAGGTATGGGGCTTTAACACAGCACTGCCCACAGCATCCGTGTTTGCCTCAGGCACTTGTGTACCTCAGGATGCATGTGGTGACACCGTTTTAAAGAAGGCCTGCTATAGCATTCGTGTGCCTGCTGCTGACATTCAGGGATTCTTGCTTGATGGGTGGGTGGGTTTTTCCATGCTTTGGCCTTTCACCTTTTTACTATTGTCTAACTGGCCAGCAAATACTTAAAAACAGATGGTTACATAAAAGCTTGAATTATTCACATTTACGGAGATATAAATGCTGATTCTTCCTTTTCTTATCAGTATTATCTCCAATAAATTCCAGGGCATTTATTGCTATATGAAGAAGCTAAAGGTGAAAAAAAAATATTATAAGCTAATGGGCCTACATTAATTTATCTGCTTGAGTAAGAAATCAAAGGAAGAGTTGCAATATGCATATAGCTATCCTTTATTCTCACATTCCATAAAAATGTAAAAAACAAAACAAAACAAAAACCACCTGGAAGCATGAAATGTTAGACGTAAACCAGATAATCTCTAAATTAATTAAAGAGCATTTGCACAACCTCCTCATTTTTCAATGAGCTCCTGAGGTATAAACAAGGTTATGTCATTTGACCAATGTCACTGATCTGGTTAGCAAGAGAACTTGGCCAACAACATGAGTGTTTTCATTCTTGGTTCAATGTCCCTCTCCAGGACAGATTCACCATTCTTTGCAAAACAAATGGACAAGTTGCTTTTAAAATACAAAGCTGAGAGAGAGAGAGAGAGAGAGAGAGACAGAGAGAGAGAGAGAGAGAGAGAGAGAGAAGAGATAGATATGGTGGGTATAGTGGTTAACCTAGACCTAATATGAAATAAGAGAAATTTGAAACTTAACATATATTTGTGGACATAATCTTTAGAAGAAAAGAAAGACTACATATCAAGGGGGAAATACTAATAAAAGCAGTTCTACAACTAATTTTAAAGGGCAACGTGGAACCAGAATAAATAAAATCAGCTGTAGTCTGGTAGAGAAAAGAGACATGCTGGCAAAGTTACTGATAAAAGCAATTATATTTTTGATAAAAAATACAAGAGAGTAAATCATTAATTTAAGGTTGATCTTAGAACCAACCTTAATCTTGAAAGAATTTCAAATATAAATAAAACAAAACATACTATATCTGTCATATCTGTCAAGTAGTAGTGTGAAAAATTGGCAAGTCTTATCATAGTCTAAAAAAAACAAAACAAAACAAAACAAAACAAAAACAAAAAAAATACACCATGATTCCTGGAATTGAAACTGGAGGGAAGGGGGAAAAAAATAATAATTAAAAAAAAAAAAAATAAATAAAAAATATATATATATATATATATATATATATATATATATATATATATATATATGAAAGTAAAATTGGAAAGGAATGCAGAGAAGGGAAAATAACATTAATATAAAAGCCCATTAACATATTGACCTGCCTGCTTTCTTTGAACATATTTGAACATCATGAAATGTGCTTTTCATTCTTCTGCAGACCCACAATTAAGAACTGCATATTAGCCCTGATGGTGTGACTCAGTGGTTGAGCATTGACCTATGAATGAGGAGGTCACAGTTGGATTCCCAGTCAGGGCACATGCCTAGGTTGTAGGCTCAATCCCCAGTAGAGGGCATGCAGGAGGCAGCTGATTGGTGATTCTCTCTTAACATTGATGCTTCTATTCTCTATCCCTTTCCCTTCCTCTCTGAAATCAATTTAAAAAAAAAATTTTTTTTAAGAACTGCATGTTATCCACTTTCATGCAATTTTTTTCAACTCATCAAAAGGAATAATAAGGCAAAAGTACAAATCAGCAATATTTTACCTTCCCAGAATTTTATTACTACTATTGGGCAGGTAGATGATTTTCTTCATAAATGCTAATAATTTTGAAATTAGAACCCTCTCTAGTGAAAGCTGGTCTAGTTTACATAGTATACACACACACACACACACACACACACACATACTTTTTAGACTAGTTTCAAAGCACAGATGTATTGTGTTTCATTGCATAAGCTCTGTTGGAAAATATCTGATATCAAAAGATAAGGATATATTCATGTTAAAGAGCAAAACATTTGAAACAGTAATTCCCAAAAGATTTAACTACTGAACAAATATATTCCAACAGGTCAATAGCCAGGCAAAGTGATTAGGCTCCTGTCATTTCTTCTATTTAAAGGAGGAATCCACAGTCAAAGAAATTAGGCTGCTATTCTAAAGCACACACTAATGTTTTAGTCAAAATGACATTGTAAACCACACTGGTGTTGTTGTTTTTTAATTCCATGGAAAAACCCACAGTTGTAAATATGCTAGATTTTTCTCCAAACAGACCATTCAAGAAATTCCGTTTAGAACAAGATGTCAGTGTCAGCACATCTAGTAGCAACTTCTGAGCTTTCATAATACTGTTTTCCAGCCATCATAAACAACTCATTTTAAATAACATCAAGTCAGCTTGTGCACTTATTCGAATTTCTATTCAATAAAATTTGAAACAATTTCTGTTTCATGCAAAAAACAAAACAAAACACAGCTCATTTACAATAATGAGCAACAGATACATAAGTAATGCCTCACAATTAATGACAAACTGGCCTTAAATTAGGCTTGTAGCTATGACTTCAGAAGTGTCTGTTCTGCCCATTCATTTGTTAAGTGGCACTAGAGAGTATCCAAAAATTTAAAACCGCCCAATTCTTCCTTAAATTGTAAATTCCAAGGTATCTTTAGTCAGTTCCGATAGGCTTTCTGACAGCTTTCGTAGAATATGAAATACATCATTTCAATCGCTGGGGGCTTGGCTGGTTATGATCTCCATATTAAGGGGCATGAATTTGTTAGAACTGGGCAATTAGATAACTCCTCCTGCCACCATTGGTCCATTAAATAAATAATACACCTGTGTTTGTGGGGATGAAGCTAGTCTCTGGGGGTTACACCACAAAACCAGCTGGCCCGCTCTCTCTCTATGAAGATACGGGGCCACGCATCCATTTCCGACGTTTTTCACAAGGCCCACCACCCTCTCTTGACAGTGCCATGCTGGGCCATATGGGAGCCTGAAACAAAGGGCAATCACTAATCTTGATCTTGTCTTTACTTAAACAGTTGGAGGTTCTTTTGCATTGGTATTGATTTTTAACATATTGTGTTCATATATTACTTATCTTGTTTACCAAGTATTTGGGTGATCCTTAAATTTTGGGGCCAAGGTAACTGCCTCATGAGCCTCGCGTTGGCCCCAGCCCCACCCCATCTCCTGTTGACAGTTGAGGACACACCCACCCTTTTGACAGAGTCAAAGGACCCATTCCAGGCCTCTAAGCAAGATGGGTATTGGGTTTACCACCTGGAACTTCTCTAGCTTTCCTCTTGCAAAAGATATTACTGTGGGTTATCTTTTCCTAAAATGTCTCCTGGGAAATCTGTAGACTACCACTTTGTTGCACTTTGCTTTTTGGTTGTATTGCAATGCAAGAGTAAAGAGTGATTAGGGAAACTGATTAAACAGGTGAATAATACTTTCATATCTTTGGAGAAAACGTTTATTTCCTGGTAGGGTTTTCTTTCTTTCTTTTTTTTTTTAATATATATATTATATTGATTTTTCACAGAGAGGAAGAGAGAGGGATAGAGAGTTAGAAACATCGATGAGAGAATCATTGATTAGCTGCCTCTCGCACACCCCTTACTGGGGATGTGCCCACAACCAAGGTACATGCCCTCGACTAGAATCGAACCCAGGACCTTTCAGTCCGCAGGCCGACGCTCTATCCACTGAGCCAAACCGGTCCTGGCCTGGTAGGGTTTTCTATAAGGTAACTAAGGCGAGTGGTATCAAAAACGTAAAGAACTAACAAACTCAGCTCTGGTTTATTCAGGAGGGCAATGTATAGTCCTTGGCAGTTCATGGTGTACCAGAAGGAACCAAACTTATTTACATATAACTTCCTACATCAGTATAGCCTGAGGCCAAGCAGAGAGCATTAATTCAGCTTTTACTTATCACTTATGTTTTATTGAACAGTTAATTACTATGGTTTCTTATTCAAAGATGTAATTGATTAAAAGTACATCAGTGGTTCAAAAAACAACCTTCTACAAACATTCTGGCCAAATTCAAAAATTTTCAAATGGCAAAAATACATCTTAGAAACTAGGAAGATAATAGCATATACCGAGCCCAAACTCAATACTGCTGTTTCAACCAATTCCCCAGTTCCTCACCTCACTGCTCTTGACATAAGCCTCTGTCATCATCCCCATCAAGTTTTGTCATATTTGGCTTAGCAGTGACACTTCCCTCTGCCACTCCTTTCCCACTGTTCTTTGGGGCAGGAACTCTGCTCTGTTTTTCTTTGCATAAAGCAGCATAGCTCGAAAATGTCTTTAGTAAACATTGATTAAATGAAGGAATGAATGCTACTTTCATATCTCTATAGATAGCACATATTTTCCCTGGTAGAAACATCCTTAAGCAATCTAAAGAATTTAAAAAATCAAATGCAGTTATGTTCACTGGAGAAAATGTAGCAAATATATATATGTTAATAGTCTCTGTTCCCATTCTTATGTCTCTATCTCCCTCCCATTCTCTTTCTCCCCTCCAGGGATTCTTTAGGAGGAGCCAGCAGAACAATGCCTCTTACTCCTGCCCAAGGCAGAGAAACTGTTTAATTGACAGAACCAACAGAAACCGTTGCCAACACTGCCGACTGCAGAAGTGTCTTGCCCTAGGAATGTCAAGAGATGGTAAGGCATTGCCTTCCTATTTCTTACATAAAAGGCTTTCAAATGAAGGCTTTCCTGGAGTCTATTTAAGCCACTGGAAGAATTCTAGACAAAGGGAACTGGAAATAAGAAGGAAAAAAGCATGTGCTGGTAGTGCATTAAAAGGAAAAGTAAGAACATACAAAAATATAGTATTGACTATGAAATAGGAAGAAAGGAAAGGCTTTATTGCAGTTTTTGAAGCAACCTGTGCTAAGTCAGGTAAAAGCCACATAGTCCTAGATTGAAGTTGACCACCTGTCTAGGTTTGCTGTAAATGAGGGGTTGGTTTCCTAGAACAAGAGGTTTTCAGAGCTAAAACTGGGAAGTCCTAGGAAAATAGAACCATTTGGTTGTTGGGTAAGTCTTGCTGGTGCACATGTTGCTTAATATGTGGAGATGCTAAGGAACAGAACACATTTCTACAGGAAGCCCAGAAGCTCATTGGCCCATCACACCTCCTCAGATAAGGATGTAGACTATTCTGAGTCATGATGAAAATCCCAATGTCAGAACAGCAGTCCAGGTCTTAGAAGGGTTGTGTAGGTATTGTCCTTCTCAGAATATGACTCAAGTGTGCACTCCACCTTCATGCCCAACCCAACTGGGTGGCTTGACTCAGCAGCTGAACTTAGATTAAAGAAAGAGGACAAATAAATTCAAACAAAAAAATTTCATCTAGCTTTTCTTCCATTTTAAGTATTGATCTAAACTAATTATTTTCCCACCAGCATGACCACAGCACTGCTGTATTGTGAGCAGTCCTGAGTCTTGGGGCCATTTCTGTCTGTTTCCCACTGTATCCTCAGGGTATGCTTAAAAGCAGCCACCTAGATGTTTGTTTGATGAACCATGGCATTCTCTTTTACCCAGAGCCTGAGACACAGTGCTCCTGATACTTATTCTCTTTATAGGAAGCACTGTAGATTCTGTGCTGCTGGTCACACTGCCTCTAATGCAGTTCAAGGTGGTAAAGACCCAACCCCCCTCAAAAGAAAAAAATAAATACTTCTAATTTATTTTTTAAATGGATAATTGGCATGTATTATAGCTTGGTATAAAAGGATTTTATGAATTATTTAATTAAATGTGGGCCTTTTAATTATTTGGATAAATTCAACTCCACATAGGTCTTGATATCTAAGCATACAAACTGCTTACTTCTTAGCTTGCATTCTCCAAACAGTTATATCTTGAATTTTTGTTTACGTTTTCTCTACTTTTCAACCCACTTAAACTTGCCTTACACAAAAGTAAACATATGAGATAAATTTGATCAAAAAAGAAAAAAAGAAAAAGAATCTGACCTTGAGCCCTTTAGTTTACAGGTAAGCTTCCAAAGATGCAGAAATGTAAGTTTCCAAAATGTTTCTATTTATTACCTGATTTTTTTTTGCTTGTTTTCCTAGACTTGTTAACCACATAGATATACTCCTAGGGTAAACTTTCAGCACTGTGTAGTTCTACATGCTAAAGTAAAGAAAAATGGAAGATAAAATTAAGTGGTTTTCAAGATTTAGCAAAATTTTAAGGTGAAAGTATGCACATACATGTGTGTGTGTGAATTAATAGCATATATATGCCCACTTCATCTTCTCTACCATTTTATTTCTTTTTACCTGGACCCTTAAAAATGATAGTTGCAGGAATCTTCAATGTTTCCAATTGTACTACTATACTGGTAGACAAACAAAAAAAAAAAAAATGGAAAAACGTTTGCATCAGTAGGAAGATACTGAGCTCCAAAGAGAAAACATGATACCCATCTTGCAGTAATTAAGTATGTGTCCTCCTTAATGACAGACCTCTCTGAAAAACTAGAAGCTGTCCTACAAGGTAGTAAGTAGATGTCTTTGAAGAAGCAATAACTTTGTTTCATTGTTACTCCAAAAACTTTCATTCCATTTAGAATCCCACAATCCAAATAAATATAAAAAGATATCTGATATTTTGTGAAAATTGTTCTTTGCTAGTGTGGGATCAACATGAGGGTTAAGAGCTTATCATGAGCAAATACCATCATCACTGAATATTTATGAAGCACTTGCAATGTATACAGAATGGTGCTAGTTTGAGAGCTAGCAGTTTAATAAGAGACTGCCTCTACATTCAAGTGAATCTCATTAGCAGAATAATTCAAGTTTGAGAGGGGCAAACACTCAAAATATGTGCCATTCTGATTAATGGTTAGTGGTGAGAAGAATGCTAATATTTGAAACTATAATAGTAATACGGCCTTTGTTGAAATAGGCCTATGGATACAATAAATGTATTGACAAAGAGTGACAAGGAATAATGTATATGTTAGGAAAGTTCAATGGATTTACTTTTGCCATTTACTGTAATTTTCCCCAAATATGTCACTACATTTATTATAGGAAGGGGCATAAAACTGAAACTGGCTCATCAGTATTCCTGAAATAAATGGAAAATTCTAAAGTAGTACTATAGCAATTGTCAGTAAAGTCCATAATTTAGGATGAAGCCTGATAATTCCAAAAGTTAGTAGGGCTTTAAGTTGCCTCTCTGAAAATATTTCAGCTTGCTCAGTGACCTGATAAGTTAATTTCCTGGAAAGGGCATAATTATTCACCATTGAGTTTTCAGATGTTCACCAGGGCACAGGTCTCCACTGCATACTTATTTGACACTGTTAGCTTTGATTTTGAGATCAAACGCAGAATTCTGAACCTAAAGTTGTTAAATATGGGGTCTTGACTGAGCTCATTCATTCATCTTCTATCAGCTACAAGTTAGTCTGTGCCTCTATTGATTATAGATGGCTTTGTCTGGGATAACTGAGGTGACTCAACTCTACCTCGCATATCTTATCCTCCAGCAAGCTAGGTGAGGCCTGTCCTTTTCATGGTGAAATATGCAATCATATAAGCATTTTGGAAGCCTCTATTTGTGTCACATATGTCAATATCCCATTGACCCAAGAGCAGGCCACATGACCCAGAGTAAGAATGCCTACACAGATCAAAGGGCCCTGTAAATTTATACGGGGAAGAAATTGAAGTACCGTATTTTTCGGACCATAAGGCGCACCGGACCATAAGACGCACCAGTTTTTAGAGAAGGGAAATGAAGAAAAAAAGATTCTGAAACAAATAGTGTCCTAAAATATTTTATGTGCATTAAAACCCAACATCACAGTCATAAACACATGTAATCAACCCTGTAAAGTAAACAGCAGCATTTAGAACCATTTTAGAGCCGGGCAAGCACACAGAGACCACACAGAGCCGGGCAAGTAAAAAAACTTTTTTTTAAAAGTATATGTGTAGGCTATATTTGGACCATAAGACGCAGGGACTTTTTCCCCCCACTTCTGGGGGGAAAAAAGTGTGTCTTATGGTCCGAAAAATACGGTAGGTAAGAAAAATCAGGGTCATTAATAAATTCAATCAACCACAATGTATAATTCACCTAAATACAATGTGCAGAAATCTGAAACAAGGAAAGGAAAGGAGCTTAAAAAGAGACACTGCATTTCTATCTTCATGTTAAAAGAGCTTCTCATTATCCATTTTCTTCTCCCCATAAATTTTAAGCAAACCAATGCGAAAGTATTTTACTAAAGTAAGCAGAAAGTAAGCATACTCGAACCATAACAAAACCTTAATCTATAGCAATAGATACAAAGTTGGTATTCACCACCATCACTCTGTAACAGAGAGCTGTCCAAAGCCTACATGAATGCAACAAACAGAGGCTCAGCAAATAAAAAAGCATGTCACATTACTTCCCTGGGGGAAAGGGTTCTTTCTGAAACCAAATGTGTCATGATTTATTTTTATCTCATACAAAATAATTTTTTTCACTACAGAATTATATGTAGTAAATGATGTATAAAGATATAATATAAAGGTACAGAGAACACTTTCCCTGTCACTATAGAATTCTGTCCATGGGACAAACTACAAATATCACAACAATGAGTAAGCAAACAAATTTGTCTTTGAGAAGCAGAGTCTAATAAAGACAGTGTCTCTACAAACAAAGTTAAATATCATTATCCAAGTGACTCAAGACCCTACAGGAATGATAGTTGAGCTGGAAAGAGGAATTTGGTCTGAATTCACCACGTTAATTTTCTTCATTCAGAAAAATTACTAGATAATTGCTACTATGTTTTCCAACTTAGGCAGCATTGGAAAGCAAAAACATAGGGTTAAAGAGAAATAGGAAGAGTTTGGGCTGCTCCAAGTCCATGCCTCACATCCACAATCCTGCAGGCAGGCAGGAGGAAAATAACATGCTTGTCACCGGAAAGTATGCACAGTTACTCAGAACTTAATCTCCAAGTCACACTTGGCCGTGACAGAGGCTGGGAAACGTGGTCTACGTTCTGAACAGCTGATGCTTGGATAAAATTTGGTAGCTCTATAACCAACAGAAGGAGAAAATGAGCAGGAGGAATGTGGGGGATGAGTGGCAGCTCCTTCACAGCAGGGATCTCTTCCAAAGGCTCTTCATGCTGGGCTGGAGAGTTAGTTCTTAAGCACATCCCTGCTTAGTTATTCTCAGAAGTTATTCTCATCAACCCTAATGACCAAATCAAGAGTTGAACCAGTTTCTTGCCTCCACTTTATCCTTTCTACATTCTCTGAGCTCCCAACACCATCAAGTGATGGGAACACTGTCACAGAGGAAAACAGAGACTCAGAGAGGAGCCTCCAAGTTTGTCACAGTTCCCACTGTTAACATGAGTTGAATGAAATACAGCTTAATGATTCAGACAACCCTGGACTTAGGAATTTCACAACCTAAAGTTGGAGTCGACAGCTGGTGAGGAAAAACATCACTACCTGTGACAGTTCAGGAGATTAAGCTCTATAAGTTATAAAACAATGCATTCAGCCCAGCCAGCATGGCTCAGTGGTTGAGTGTTGAGCTATGAATCTGGAGGTCACGGTTTGATTCCCAGTCAGGGCACATGCCTGGTTTGTGGGCTTGATCCCCAGTATGGGCCATGCAGGAGGCAGCCAATCAATGATTCTCTCATCATTGATGTTCCTCTCTCTCTCCCTCTCCCTCTCCCTTCCTCTCTGAAATCAATAAAAATATATTTTTTTAAAAGAAACAATTCATTCAGATGAAAGCATCCTCATATCACTCTATGACCACTTCCAGAGCCTCTTCCTCCTTTTTTCCTCAGAATGGCTAAGGCTTTTGGCAGAAGAGATGGGCAATATAAAACTTGGGATGGGGACTGTGGAATGCGAGAGGAGGGGTTACTGTTGCATCACTTGCTGGCCACTGAACGCACAAACTTCTTCCAAAAATCCATTTCATTTGACACCAAAACTTCCAACTGAAGGCAAATGATGTGGTTTACTTAACACTCTGTTCACCCTGCCTCACATTCTTGTTCTTACCCAACTCACTAGAAAACAGTGAAATAATAAGGTCCTATTCGATAACCTAGTAATCCTAATGCTTAGAGAGGAAGTTAACAACAAGTTTAGGTTGACATATTCTTAGCAGGTACTATTTGGTAGTTTGTATTATTTATAATCCCCCCCCCCAATATAAAAGGAACAAGAAAATATGCTTTCCAACTTCACAGCAATAAGAAATACCTAAGTTTTCACATTTCTTCCTAGCTTAAATTTAATTCTCCCCATGCACATAAACCAGTAAGGACACCCATGAATATAACTTTTACCAAATATGGAGTGCCAATGAATGGGCTCTGGGGCTCTTGTGCTAGGAGTCCATACATTTGAGGGGACAGCCATGCATGACCCATCGGACTTGAGGTGGTTGGCGAGAATGATAACCGCCCGCGCTGTTCTCTGCTTTTCTCTCCGCCCAGCTGTGAAGTTCGGGAGGATGTCCAAAAAGCAGAGGGACAGCCTGTACGCCGAGGTGCAGAAGCACCAGCAGCGGCTGCAGGAGCAGCGGCAGCAGCAGAGCGGGGAGGCGGAAGCCCTGGCCAGGGTGTACGGCAGCAGCATCAGCAACAGCCTCAGCAGCCTGAACAACGAGGCCGGCGGCACTTACGCCAATGGACATGTCATTGACCTGCCCAAATCCGAGGGCTATTACAGCGTGGATTCTGGCCAGCCATCCCCCGATCAGTCAGGACTGGACATGACTGGGATCAAACAGATAAAGCAAGAACCCATCTATGACCTCACGTCCGTATCCAACTTGTTTACCTATAGCTCTTTCAACAACGGGCAGTTAGCACCAGGGATAACTATGACTGAAATCGGTAAGTGGAAGTCTTCCCCCCTTGTTTTTAGAAATTCTGCTTTGACAGTGCCTTGGTCCTATGTCAAGGGTCATTTTCTCAGTTTGTTGAATTACTTGCACTCATGGCTTCTAGGGAGAAAAGTTATTGGTTTTAAAATATTTCCTAATAACTGTCGCTGTTGCCTTATCCCATAAAAATGTGTCCCAAGCAAAGGAAGAAATTATATATATAGAAAGATGTTATCTGTAAAGAACAGATGCTATCTGTTATACATAGAAATTTGGGTTTGTCACTGAAAGAATAATATGATTGTTATAAACTGGAAAATTTCAGCAAGGGGCTATTCCACGTGAAATAATGCAGGAGGCAGCTGATCGGTGTTTCTCTCTTATCGTTGTTCCTGACTATCCTTCTCCCTTTCTCTCTGTAAAAAATCAATATAATCTATTTTAAAAATTAAAAAAAAAAGAACCAGGACACCTGCATTTCAACCCCGACTCTGTGGCTTAGTATTTGAGCTGGAGCAAGTTTTTAAATCTCAGTTTACTCGTCTTTCCACCTCCCCCCCATCTTTAAAAAAGAGAAAAGCACTAATTCGTAGAACACATGGTGGTTGTAAGAATTACCTGAGTTAATATTGTAAAAGAGAACAATGTTTGGAACTCAGCAAATGCCTAATAACTCAGCACTGATAGTGCTGTATGCCACGTGCTCAGGCACCTTCTCTGTCTGCACTGTGAGTAGGAGCCTAAAGCCTACGAGTATTTTCACTAAAGTTGATGTGAACACATAATGAAGTACATGCCATATGTATCTTGGCTACTTCCACCATCTGGTGGAGGGAGGAGCAATGTGACACAGTTATAAAACCCGGGACATTCTTTCTCTCTTTTAGCAATTCAGGATGTGACAGTGAGTAAAGAAGTTGTTGACAAAATATCTGAAATGGCTCACACTGAGAGACGTAGAAAACTGAACATCAGCTATAATACAAAATATTAGTTATTATTGCCATCCTTAACCTTGCTTTTTAACTCTGTCACAGGCACTTTGCATCCATTTCATTTTCGTAAGCATCTTATAAGTACAAATATTATTCCCATTTTACAGATGAGGAAATAGAGGTTTAAGGACATCTGATTTTCCCAGATTCCATTAGTTACTAAGTGATGGAGCCAGTTTCTACCATAGGCAGTCTGATTCCAGAGCTCTTTTTCTTATCCATTACTCTGCTACCTGTTGTGGGTTTAATATTCACACACTGCATTGTCAACAAATAGGGACAGTCTTTTTAAGTGAAGTCACTTAATCTCAAGAGAGCATGTTGTTATGGAAGAGAGAGAGAGAGAGAAGTCAGAACCATTTTTCACTTTTATCCTACTTAATATCTAAGTGCAAGAGTCTGCTATAGATTTGGAGCACATGTTCAAAACCAAATGAAACAAAACTCACAATTCTTGGGCAGCATTCTTTCCCATCCCCAGAAAATAAAGTCTTATAAGAATTCAAAAGTCATAGTTTTCTTATAATCTAGACTCACTAGAAGTATAGCAAAAGAAATACAGCCAAAACCATCAGGCCCAGGTCACTAGAGGGGTCACTTTTCCTCTCTGGCCTTCAGTTTATTATTCTCGGAGCTGCTGCCTTTGGACTAGATAATCTCAAAATCCATCCAGATGTTTTCCATAGAAAGTGATACCCAAAATGGGCTGGCATATATCTTTTAATTACTTCAAGATACCATTAGTCTTTAGAATAGCTCTAGATATTCTCAAACTTTGGAGACCTCTTTCATCAGACATTTTGGGGCGCGATTATATTGTCTTGCTAGTGCTCCCGTATTTAGCAGGCTCTTACACCTAAATATTGACTCGATTCACATGTATTTAAAACAGCAATGCCATCTAGTGGACACAAACTCCTTCAATGGGTGTAGGCACCTATATGACAAGCCACAGTGATTGGACATGCTATTCTTTCCTGCACCGTGCAAAAAAACTGCCACTTGTTTCACTAAAACCTGAGTCCATAACAGCATCGGTGAGAAGGCGCCAGAGGTACAGCATTGGTGGTTAAGAACTCTGATTCTGGAGTCAGATTGCCTGAGTTCAGAGCCCGGTGGGCCTTTTCCCGTATGCATTGCTAACCTCTGGGTCTCAGGTGTAAACTTGGGAAAATAATAGTCCCTACCTGTGTGTGTTGATTAATTATTTGTAAGTTCTTAAGACAATCTGTCATGCATAAGCCTTATTATTATTAATATAATTGATATTATAAGTTATTAATTTCATTATTACTCAATAACATTACTAGTTATTACAGGTCATATAATTACTTTTCATTGAGCACCTGCACTTGCTGAGCAATGTCCTTTATTTAATTCTCATAACAATCCTATTATGCCTGTTATATACGTATTTGTATGTCCATTTTACAGATGAAAAATTGAGACTCAGAAGTCACAAAATTTGTCAAAATCAAAGTAAGCACATAAGCACATACCATTATTTTAATCATCATACTACTAGTATATATTTATCCCATCAACAAAGGGAGCCCCTCAAGCTAACTGGCATTCCCACCGAAAACCATGTTTGTGGTGTTTGTTGCCTACCTGATGACCTTCTAGGTGCTACAAAGGGGCTCACAGTGTGAACATGCTGATATTTTGACTTGACTTGATTAATGAGCATCTGTATAATCGGGCTAGTGACAAGCTGTCAGGGAGAGAACCCTGTGTAGACAAAATACAAAATCAAATTTTAGCCCCATTGCACTATGTGAATTCGAGGCTGTATCACACTAAAGAATTTTTTACATCACTCCTGGCGATAAGAAATCCTGATGTGCTTCCTCGGGTTTCTGAAAGAGCAATGAAATGTGTACAACCAGGACATTATTCTGATACTGGGTCATCTTAAAAACAGTTGTTTCTAAAAAACCAGTTTTTTATTATTATTATTCCATGGAGATTATAATTTTACAATTTGAAAAATTTTAAATTAAAACATAAAACAACTATATAAGCAATAGTATGAAGATCCTAAAAAATTAGTCATATGAATGTTATCAGAGTCAAGAATATTCCCCCAGGAAAACCAGACTTGTCTTTCTAAAAGTGCAGCAAAGAAACTACACACTTGTGAGGGTAAGGAACCTAATAATAGTATTTTATATAGAGAGAAAAGGCTTTTATGCATGGTAGTCAATTTGAGCCTCTCACTAGTACCTTACGTTGGGCAGAGAACCCCATGGTGCAGATGAAGAAATTAAGGTTCAGAAACAGTCAGTGATTCTTCTAGACCACATAGTAGGTGGTGAAGCCTAAATTCTAAGGTGGGGTTACTCTACTACCAGGCATTCCTTCAAAAGCATATTTTTGAAATGTGCCAAACACTCAAGGCAAGCACCCATGGTTCCTGACCTCACTGTCTAGGACCCAGACATGAAAATAAATAATTGCAATTCAGTATCATATAATATAAGTCCTGGGCATGATACAAACTCTCCGATGAGGGGGGTGGATGCTATTGCTTACTCTGAGCCACATCACTTATTTAGAACTAGAGGCCCAATGCACAAAGATTCGTGCAAAAATAGGCCTTCCTTCCCCTGACCAGAATGACAACTGGTCTAATTAGCATATTATACTTTTATCATTATAGATTGCTTTAATCTGTCTATGCATATTTGTATGTATATTAGATAAACTAGAAGCCCAGTGCACAAAATTCGTGCACGGGAAGGGGTGTGTCCCTCAGCCCAGCCTGCACCCTCTCCAATCTGGGACCTCTAGAAGGATGTCCGACTGTCCCTACCAGTCATATATCCCTCTCACAATCCAGGACTGCTGGCTCCTAACTGCTTGCCTGCCTGCCTTCCTGATTGCCTCTAACTGCTTCTGCCTGCCAGCCTGATCACCCGCTAACCACTCCCCTGCCACCTGATTGATGTCTAACTGCTCCCCTGCTGGCTTGTTTGCTCCCAACTTCCCTTCTCTGCCAACTTGATCACCCTCAACTGTCCTCCCTGGCAGGCCTTGTCCCTTCCAACTTCCCTTCCCTGCTGGCCATCTTGTCCACATGGGGACAGCCATCTTTGACCACATGGGGGCAGCCATCTTATATGTTGGAGTGATGGTCAATCTGCACATTACTCTTTTATTGGATAGGATATGCATTTCTCTGTCTATACATATTTAACTACTCATTCAGAAACAGCTCAGATAATAGAATTTAACTCTAACTATGTACTTCCTATGTCCTCTGATCACACTTGTATCAAACATAAATAGGCATTTGATTTAGGAACAACTCCCTGTATAGTCATTAAAATGAATGAACATAGACTAAACTGTGAGAAAAATCATTAAGCAGTGTGGGGAAAGGAAAATCTGGTGTCTTTAGTTCTTCCTTTCTTGCTTTGAAGGATGACATCTTGTGAACTGCCACAGTCATCTAACCCCCTCCCACCCTCAGCCCAACCAACCCCTGCGGGCAGCTAAGGAAAAGAACATCGAAATGGAGAGTCCTGATTGCATATAGGAGCCTCATGAACTTGTTCCAAATTAGTTTAGCTTTCCGAGGCTCAGTCTCTTCATCCTCTAAATGACTTTGAAGGATTATTGTTCTCCGAAGTCCTGGTGGAAGTTTTGGCCATATGAACAAATATTCCCTTTGTTCCAGCCACTTTCCAAGGAGAAAGACAGAGTGGTGGAGAGGAGATTTGCAGGCAGCCAGGAAATTCTGAATAAGGCTAAAGCACTCGCTATGGCAGTAGGCAACCACACCTCCCTCCCAAGGGGCAGGACCACATTTGGCACTTTCCATGGGGCTGTAAAACCCTGTCACGTACGCAGTTAATAACCACAATCAAACCAGAATTGTGCACCAGACTCTTCTCTCCAACCACCCTCCTGAAAACAAATAAACAAAACAAGATATCTGGAATCAAGGACAATCAGAGGCAGCTGATGGTGAGGGTGATGGCCAATCCCAAAACACCCCAAGTTCATGTAT